CTACTGACCGCTGCTACTGACTGCTACTGACTGCTGCTACTGACTGTTACTGACTGTTACTGACTGTCCACACTGATATTCTTACAGTTACATTAATATGTAATAATAAGTTAATTTATATTTAATAGTTTTAATTACAGTAGAACTTTAATGTTCTGTGATCAGAAACTTTATATCAGTTATATTATTATATTACAGATCAGTGGTTCCCAAACGTCATCACACTTTTATCATTTAATCAACTGAACTTATTTTATGTCTGTATCTTTATTATTTTTAACAATTATACAGACAAACATTTCTTATTGGCTGTTTCTTTAAAGTTCATCAGCGCCTGCTATAAACAATCACTAATGGAAACAAACTTATTATATTATATATTATATTAAATAAATAAAAACCTCTACACATTATATTATTTATTTATAAATAGATATTAATATATTTAATATTAAAAAATAATTTGATAACTAAAGATGTGTCTGAACTTTCTCTCCATTAACCGTCGCTGCTGTTTGTTTGTGTTTCTAATTGAATCTGTTCAGAGGTGAAAGACATTAATCTTCCAATCTGCTCTTGATTATAAACACAGAGGAAGACCATTGATAGAAAGCTCCAGTTCTGCAGATTCAATCACAGCAGACTGCGTTTGTGTGTTCGAGCCTGTTGAGCTTCGTTTGTTCTGAAGGAGAAATCAATGGAGCTCTGTTCACGATCCATGACTTCATCACAGCACACGGGCTTCTGTTTATCAGGGAGGGAGGGAGGAAGGGAGGAAGGGAAGGAGGGAGGAAGGAAGGGAGGAAGGGAGGAAGGAAGGGAGGAAGGAAGGAAGGAAGGAAGGGAGCACTTTAACCAGAGCTTTCTACTTGAATTCTCTTGAATGTTTTCCTGATTGAGACATTTTTTGGACTTAATTGATTCATTTAAGGACAAAATCACCAACAACAAAAGAAATAACCACAACGTTCTTTAGTAGCTCTTCTGGAGCTTTTGATAACATCTCATGATCTTCATCAGCAGATGGAGATTGCCTTGTTGTCGACATTTTCTGATCACTTTAAGGACTCTGTCGTCCACATTGGCTGAAAAACAGAGGTTGTTCTTGGAAGCAGCAGTTGACAAAACAACCACGAGGTCTGTTCAGTAGAAGTTCTGCAGCTTTTGACTGTACAAAGTGATAGAAAACCCTTTTTATGAAAGTAAAAGCTGGATTTCCATGTGAGGATAAATGTAAATGTATTTAATCTTTTTAATTAAAGCAGGTTCAGTCGATACTCTCTCAGGTGTGCTGTTGTGTCTGTAGCTGCTGATTCTTTATTCAGAGTCTGTAGTCTGCGTCCTTGGATGGTCCTCTGCTGAGTGTGACTCAGGTCTGACAGCATCGACAGTGACTCAGGTCTTTACTCAACCGCAGGTTCAATCGTAGTTCTGCTTTATTACAACTTCAGTCTTATTTTGGTAGTTTTGTTCGTAGTTCCTGTCAGTAACAGTAACTCTCCTACTTTCTTCTTTCCCGTGATTTCAGATTTTAGCCTCAGTAGCAGCTGGTCTGTCTCTCTGTCAATGAACACATTAATAGTCCAGGTTGCATAGAAACACTTATCTTTAGCTGAGGGACGTATTTAAGGCTGCTTCACATAATCCCTTAAAACAACCTTTTTCATTAAGAGACCCCTTTTTGTTTATCATTCACAAAACTGACAACTACTCAGTAAATGACATAACGGCAGTGAAAGCAATAATGAACATTATAACTGTAGGAAGTTTGTGTCAAACAGGCAATTCAATTCATTTTTGTCTCTTACATCAAAACAATAACAAAAGTACACAATAATCCGTCTGACGTGACTCAGATTGTTCAGACTTTTATTCACATTATGTTTCCGACTTCCATCCTCTCTGACGTGTTCACCCGAAAGTTAAAGCAACTAGGAAACAAACTGTTCCCTGTCTGATCATTGTTGGAAACATTTGGGATAATGTAAGAAACACAATAATGAAAAACAGATCGATCAATTATATTTGACATTATAATGTGTAATAATGTTTTCATATTAGAGTCTTTGCAACGATGGCAGCGTGAAAAGTTACAGATAAAACCAAAACCAAGCTGAACAGCAGCTCTAGATATAGTTCAAACAGGTAATTCCTCCTTCTCCACAATGATTTCTACACAGCCTCTATTAGAGACTGGCTTATATTTGTCTGCTTTTATAATCTGAATAAAGGCTTTTATTTAAGTATGTACAGCGTGGAATAGCAACTATATCCTGTAACGTCTGGAGCTCAGATGGATCTTTGGGAGAGGAGCAGAAACAGCAGTCGGACGCGACGGAGACATCAATGATTCAGGTTTAATTACCTCCTAGCACAGCAGCGTATCCCTCCACAGCAAAATATAAATACAGCAGCAGAGAAAACAGATGCAGATCGATCAATAGAAGCACTCGTCTGCTGAGATCTGCTCTTCATAAACTGTGACAGGAGTGTTACTGTACGGTAAAAATAGCGTCTGTGACTCACTCTGACAGACACAAATTCTTACAAATCCTGCTGAATATTTAATGCAGTCTGTAAAACGTCATCTGACTGCCTCCTTTAGGCCCGTTTCTAACAAGTTTGGTGTAATTCTGTCTATATTAGTCTGTATGCACATATGTGTTTGCTGTATATGACTGCAGGGTGGCGCAGACAGAAGGAGAGCACAGTGGGACGTCTCCCATCTGTTTACATTGCCTGTTAGGTGATAAAGCAGTTTGTAAATGTTGTGAATCCCACAGGGTGCGTTCAGGGGCCTGAAATTATCTGCAAAGTCAACCAGAGAGCAATCATGCAACAAAAATCATACATTAAAATAAACGGCACCCTGCTGGCCTAGAGGTTCCTGTTATCACTCAACTAAATTAAATGAATCCACCTTTTAATATGTGTAATGGGGAGTAAGGACCAATACTTTAGTCGTTTATTCAGGTACCTTGTTGGGAACCACTGCTTTAGGGGGTTCTTGTGATCACTGAGGAAGTCCCAGTGGTCCTTTAGGAGGTTCTGTTGGTGACTGCGTCTGTTAGGAGGGTTAGAAGTTCTTCAGTTGTTCTAATGAACTAGTGACTGGGAACTATGGTTCTTTGAGGTCACTGTAGTGGTCCTGTAGGAGGTTCTAGAGTTTAATAGGAGGGTCTAGAGGTACTTCAGTTGTTCTTGTGATCACTGACTGGGCTCTAGTTTTGCTTTAGGTAGCTTTAGTGGTCCTGTAAGAGGTTCTTGTAATCACTGAGGAGGTTCTGGAGGTTCTAGAGGTCCTGTAGGTGGTTGTAATGGTTGTGAGGAGGGTTTTAGGGTTTCTTTGGGAGGTTATAGTAGTCCTTTGAGTTTGAAGTGGGCCTTGTGGTCATTTAAGAAGTTCTTGTGGTTTATTTGTTTGTTGTAGTGGTCTGTGAAATGGTTCTAGAGGTCCTTCAGTTGTCCTAGTGATCATTGAGGAGATTCTAAGGTTCCTTTAGTTAGCTTGTTGTCATTGAGGAGGTTCAATATGTCCTGTAGATGGTCTTTATCATCATTGAGGAGGATCTAATGGTTTGTTAGTTGGTTACAGTGGTCATCAGAGGGGTTCTTCAGGAAGTTGTATTGGTCATTGAGGAGGTTTTAGAGGTCATTTTGTTGGTTCTAGTGGTTCTTAGGAGGCTCTATGGGTCCTTTTTTATGCGGTTTTTAGTTGTCACTGAGAACGTTAAAGGGGTCCTTGAGGAGGTTCTTGTAGTTGTTCAGGAGGTTGTAAAGGTAATTTAGATGTTTTGAATGGTCATTGAGGAGGTTCAAGAGGTCCTGTAGTTGGTTCGGTGGTGGCGATCCTTGAGATTGTTGAGTTCTGGAAGTAGCTCTAGGAGTCATCAAGGAGGTTTGAGAGTTTCTTTAAGGGGTCCTTCAGGTGGTTTTAGTGGGCCTTAATATTTTAAGGGTTCTTTGGGTGGTTAAACTGCTTCAGGGGAACCTGTTGGACAGCGCTCTCCACCACCATCACAACCTTTAACCGTGGCGTCTCAGTCCACACTGAGCGTTTCTGTCCTTTAGTTCATCCTTTCATCCAGGTCACTGGAGCTTTGACACACCATCAGTGAGCTCCCTCCTGGCATTATATAACCGTCATGAAAAATACAACAACTCATGATATTCCTCCAGTGCCAGCAGAGATAGATTTTTGGGTGATTCAGCTCACTTTCATCAGATGATGAGTGATAGTGTGCCGGGCTTCATAACACAGTTGATGTATTTTTAAAATGGCATACGCGGCTATAAATAGAGCAGGACTTTATGAACGTCTCTGCAGAACTGTACTCTGCTTCACGCTGGAATAACACGAACACTGCGAGATGTTCAGGACCGCAGCCAAATATAAAACTTTTAAATGAAACTTTAAGACCGAATTTACAACCAAAATAAAGACACAAATAATGAGATATTGTCCAAACATGTCAGTGTTTTTGCTATTATATCTGATTAACATTGGATTCATATTAATGCTGTATTATATGTTTCATTTTACAGACACAAATGATAATAAAATGATTAAAAGTTCTGTTTTGCAGTATTTAATTAAACATATGTTTAAAGAACTCACATATTTCACTTTACATAAAAGTACCACAGTGTAAATTTTTACTTACAAAGTCTGAATTTTTACGAGAATTAAACCTTGACTAAGTAATAAAAAGATCAATTAGGACTTTTTAGACAAAATTATTATACTTTTTAAATTTTTAAAATTTTTATTTAACAATTTTAAACATTATTTTTCGCACATTTCGCGGTACACCAATCCTAAACACTGGACCTTTTTAAAGTAAAAGTACTTAGTTACATTCCAGCACATGTAGTCAGAGTAAAAGCTCAAATTTGACGTCTAGAACAGATGAAACCAAAGTGCAAATTCTTCTTCGTGAGGACCATCCAACCACAACAGAAAGCGAGTAAGAGGACTTTGAGTTGAGGTGGACTGAGTTCCTGTTCAGATGTGATGTTCAGTGACAGCTGCAGCTTTCTGGAAGCTTCTCCCGCTCCGTCTGCCAGCAGGTTGTGTTCACTGACTCACCTCTGTCCGAGAAGAACATCCGTTACACCAGATCTGACTGGACGGAGGCCAAAGGTCGTTTCCTCTCTGCAGTCAGAGCTCTGGTTGGCTGTCGGCCTGAACACAGAGCGCTTGTGTTGTTCACACTGATGATCAATGCGCTGTGGGTGTCTGCCAGGAGATTTTATCCAGTCTGAAGCCACATTATTACCATCCACCGTTTAGATCTTGGTGGTTTTTAACTCTAGATTTGAACCAGAATCTGGATTTATGTTAAGTTTTGATGTCAGACTTTAAATCGGTCCAATTAAAAGCCCATTTAAATTTTATTAGATAGAAGCTAAAGGAAAAAAATTAAACTTTTAATTTGAAAAACATCCAGTTTGCAGTTTAATTTATAAGTTTAGGTTTCACTTTTGCATTTTAATATTGCCAGCAACAGACTTACATATTTATATACTGGTTAATACAGGACGAATGTTAGTTAGTTCAACGCTGTAAGGAAACGTTTCATTAAGGCGACCTTCGTTCACTGCTCAGGTGTTTTAAATGAAATAACAGCCCAACAGATCAAAGCAAACGAGGTTAAAGTCCAACACTAAACGAACCAAATTCAATTACTGCCTTTGAAATTAAATCAAATGTGAAACGTTTTCACTTCCATCACAGAGCCGATGTCCCTTCACAATAAACTTCCATTCAGACAAAGTGAACTAAAATATAAATCCCAGCTGTTTTTATACTTTATGCTCGTTGTGTGTCGTCACTCTGAGCTGTCTGATAAAATAAAGTTAATTAACCCCGACAGAGTGCAGCTAATCCTGATGAATCAAATCAAAGTCTGCTGATGAAAGTACAGTATGGATTAAAACATTTAACACTGACAGACTGTGTGCTGTCCTGAAATATATATAGAGGTATATTTTGACACAATTTGATAATTTAATGTAACTTTAGGATGAAAACAACCTCCAATACTGATAAAAAAACTAACCAGAAAGGGTAAAAAAAGAAATGAAAACCTCCTTTTGTCCCAGAAACACTAGAAATAAATAAAATCTTTTACCTAATCTAAGTGATAAAATGTTTTTAATTTCAGTAATTCATCAGGATTTAAGAATGAACCAAACAAATAAAAGGGGGGTTTCTCTGTCTCTACACGCCTGAGGGAAGCAGCTGCTCTAACAGGAAGTTTAACTAACTGCCATGTCATCCTCTGCCTGGTTGCCTGGCAACAGTTGCCGGGTGGCAGGCAGGTGCCTCGGCCTGCAGAAAGGTAGCAGAGGACCCCGGTGGGGGATGGAGGGCAGGTGGTCGACATCTGAAATGCACACCATCGACCACGGCTCGGCTGCTTCCACGCCGTCTGATTGTTTTTTCAAAATAAAAGAATGTGTGAGCATAATAACCCTGCGGTGTGTGTGTGTGTGTGTGTGTGTGAATAATTTATCAGCCGTTTTATTGGCCGTAAAGACAGATTGCTTTAGATTTCAACAAAAGCCAGAGGAGAATAATGGAGTAATGAATTGTAATAAAACCGTCTGACCACGAAACGAACCGCAGCGGCGACCTCACGCCGTTCATGGCGCTCGCGGGAGAAAACGTCACCCAGACAGTTTACAGTATGACATCATACAACTCTCATATAACACAGAATAAATAACTTCTCTGCATTAAATCCTGGCATTTAAAGTTACTGACTAATTAACTGGCTCAGTCCTCAGTCCTGAACAGAGTTTAACCTTATTTTTTGACTCACAAATGAAAAATGTGTGGACTGTTACCATATGCTAACTGGAAGAGCCTGTGTCATGTTTCCCTCTGTGTGTTTTTGCAGGTTGCTTTAAGGATGACCGCATCGTGTTCTGGACCTGGATGTTCTCCACGTACTTCATGGAGAAGTGGGCTCCTCGACAGGACGACATGCTGTTCTATGTTCGCAGGAAGCTCGCCTACGTCAGCGCCGACAACAGCGAGGGCAAAAAGGTGATGAGTAGTTATTTATTGATTTATTAGTGTTCCAACAAATCTATAATCGACTAACTGCTGGAGTCATTTATTCATTTATTACGGTTCCAGCTCTCAAAAGCGAAAAAACTGTCGGTTTGACATTTTGTAAACTAAATTAAATGGAAAAATTGATTAACAATCAAAATAATTAATCGATAATGAGTCCTCGTTACATTAGCATAGCATATAGCATATCTAAGTACAGGAAAGGAGGAAGTTGATGAGGGTTGCTCAACTGTGATTGGAGCATAGAGTAAAAAGGGGCGGGGCTTATGAAGACTTAATTACAGTCAGTTTGTAACAAATTAAATTTATTGGACGTGATTTAGAAAGACTCCTGTTTATATAATTGTACAGTCGCTGCTTTAAATCAGGTTTATAATCCATTCATGTGATATTGGAGTTATTATGTTTTAATTTGTGAGAAGAATCAACGTAAAAGCCGTAATTATGAAGCCCTAGAAGATAAATACGAGTTTATATACGACTCTTTATAATGTGGAAGTCCATTAAAAGACAAACACGCCTCATCAAATTCATGGACAGTATATGTGGATGTATTGTTCTCACAGCAGCAGTTCTGTGTGTGCAAATAAATATTCAGATACAAAAGAAAACCTTATTTACATTCGTAAATATTTTAAAACGTGTAAATAATGAATGCACTAAGTTTCATTGTCAGGGGACATTATTTTAGACCCTCACACAAACAAACCATCTGGAGTTGTGTTACAAACATCTTTCCCCCTCTTTCACCATCTCATCAGCAGGACGTCACTTTGATCTACGTGCTGTTGAAACGAGCGAAAGTGCGACCATCCGTATCCTCCGCCATCAAACTTCCATTTTTCTTTCTGCTTATTTGCACAGTCAGCAGCTTATTTTCCTGCCAGTGTTTCTGTTTACTTCCTGTTCCATTAATGTGAAAATCAGCTTGTTTAAACTGAATCTGCTGCTTTTGAAAAACGCGTCAACGTTGGTTTAAAAACTCAAACTGCCGTGCGTCGACTCGTCGTTTGAGACGTCGATCAGTTTCCTTTGTGAGGAGGTATTTCCTATCGCCTTCACACACACACACACACACACACACACACACACATCCATGATGTAACCATGGCGACTATTCCTGTGCTCTAAATGGTTTGTGAGTGATATGAATCCCGGCATGTGGAGACCTTGTATCTCGCTGCACACGCAAACCTTTTATGAGGTCTGTTTAAATAAAGATGTGAAGGAGGGTTGAACGTTTATCACGGACACAATGTGTCTGATATTCAGGATGATCACCAAAAACCATCTCAAAACTTTATACAGAGGTCTACAACAAACAACATGGAACTCATTGTATGTGAAACAAAAATGGGGGAAGAGGTAAACCTGGAGGCAGCTAATCTCAGCTAAATTCTGGATTCACAAGGACAAAAACACAAACTCTTGAGTCAAAATAAAGTAAGATTTCAACAAAATTATCCAGAAATCTCACAGTCCCATAGTTCGTTTCCAAAAGTAATAAAAAAATCCAAATTATATTCAGTTCTGTTCATAGATCAAAAAGTCAGTCTGTAAATAATAAACAGTCCATTCGGTCCAGAGATCCAGTCCGGGTTCAGTGAACAGCAGAGTGAAGCAGTGTGGCGTGATCCAGACTGAGGATGATGAGATGGCTGATGGATGGCTGATTGCGGCGGTAGAGATGAAAAAAAAATTTAATGATTCAAGATCGACCTTTACTTTGTTTCATCTGCGACAAACTGAGTGTGAATGAATCTCTCCTCAAATGACAAACGAAATTGAATTGTGGCGTAAACCCGGAATGAGGTGATAAAATCCAGGTTGTCTCAAAACCACTGGACCCATCAGCCAAATGTTTCTTGTACACATTGATGACTGTACACTCAACGACCTCTCGTACTTGCGGTGATTCACAATTAAAAAAAAAACCTATTTTATTAAGTGCTCTGTTTCATACCGACTGCTGACTCCTCACTCCACATTTTGGCCTTTGTTGTGGCTCAAAAACTGACATCTATAGAAAAGTTTGGTCTCATCTTGAACCCGAGCATCTGAAGTTTAATTCCATACCCCACATGTTACGATCCATTAAAGTGAAAGATGAATAAATCCCTGTTTTGTTAACTTGTCAACATCTTGACTGTGAGGAAGTTTTCTCTCTCCGTGGTTTTACTGGCAAACATGTTTCCTCTTATACACATTTTTCTGTTCTTGAAAAGCAGGAACATCACCAAAAGATTTTATATCGTAGTACACTAGACCGAGTTATACCTGCATACATTTCCTCTTGATGTTGTCATAGTAACAAATCAATAAAGACAGATTCTCTTCACATAAAAGACTCTGCTCGTCCTCCGTGTATCTCTGCTCTACTTTGAGGTCAATCTAATGTGACAGGAAGTCCCCAGAGTCCTGTTTCCTCTACACCT